TGGATGAAGTGTATGGAATATGCTTTATGAACCAACTTCCCCTTGGATTTGTTGAGGTAATTATTTCCCAGTATTTCTTGATACACCAGTACTGAGAGACTGCATAACTGCATTAATCTAGAGGAAACCAGATGTACCTGAATCCCATGAAGTGGACTTACTGTTACATATACACTCAATGTTCATTTCCATTAAATTAATGATCAGGCTGAAATGACAGGCTGAATTTAGGTAACTCATTGAAGTCCTTTGACTTTGGAATTTTTAGAGGAAAGGCATAATCAAGAGTGCAAATGCTGTGAGAAAACTGGGAAATAGCAAATTTTTTACAAAGTGTACACAAACTGTATTAAATGAAAATAGAGCATCCTGTGTTTCATGTGTATGTTGGAAAATAGTAACAAACTCTTGGGCCTGTGCTTATTTGCTTAAGAGATTGTTTAAGAAACCTTTCTCTTCATTATCTCAGAGGGCCAAGTATTGCATCTGCTTGGTGCCAGCTAAATTGAAATATTCATAAATATTTTACATACTGATGCTATTCAAATAATTTTGGTATGTGAGTCTAAGCAAGAGTATCTTTATGTATTTTGTTACTTATTTTGTTCCTACTGTGGAACAAAGTATAATTCCAATCTAATCAAATTTAGTATTTCATGCACTGATATCTTGGTCTTTGGCTTTGGCTCTGCCTTCCTCCTTTCCCTCCTTAGGATCTTAGACTCATCGTTTAATACAGTTCTCGATTAAAGCGTTTTTTATCAATTCTTCAACAGTATTTATTTTTGCTTTTCCCAATGGTAGTTGGTGTAAGACTGTGATAACACAGTCACTTTAATTCCAAGTCTGCCTTGTTTCTGGGGTGTAACAGCCAAACATATATTGGCTGGATTTCTGCACACAAAAGCAAGTGCTAGCTCAAGACAGGCAGTGACACTGGGCAGCTTTGGCTGCAGGGGTTGGCCCTATTTGGTCTAGCGCAGAAGTTAAGGCATGTTAAAGAGACTCATTAACTATGAGCTAAACTAAACATGAACCAGGCTGTCAAAGAACTGGTGCTTTTACATTGTTGGGGTTTTCTTCTTCATAAGTTTGTCCCATCTCTGGGCATGTCCATCCACTTCTGCTCTTAGAAGATGTGTTGGCTCTTGGTACTATGGGCTTTCTGAATGTTTTGGTTTTTGTAGCTGCTTTCAGGATTATCTCCTTCAGGATCTGAAACACTTGCAGGGCTCTGTATGTGCTTGCGAGTTTCAAGCTCCTTGACACTGTGCTCTGCATGGACTTTAAAGGTTCTAATATCCTTTTTTTTAGAAGGCCGAACCGTCCGACACACAGAGGTAGGCATATTATATCAACATGCCTTACTGTTTCTTGCTATGGCTACTTATTGACTCCCAGAATATAAAAATAAATCCTCACACTATAAAAGCTTACCGTCTTTGAGTTTAAAGTCGTAAGATGAATGTGCACACAGTATGTGAATTATTTGGGGAAATAAAAAGCTCTTTCTACTTTTGTAAAATAATTGGTAACAATGGCAATGTAAAATGCAATAGGAATTTAAACATCACATAGAACATTAGAATGAAAAAATCCTCCCTAGGAGATTTATTGTTACAGATCATCTGCCAATATCTTTGTGGAATCTTGAATACAGCTGGATAGAACATTATGTTAGTAGAGGGGTTGAGATTTGAGATGTATTCTGGTATTGCTCAGACAAGGAAACTAAAGATATATGAGGATATTGCTGAATCTTGCGAGATGTACAATTACTACTTTAAACAAGCTGTTAAATTATTCTCCAATTAGCTTTAGATGTATTGTGTTATTATCATAGACCAGTCACAGTGGGAAAATACGCAACATTGAATGGTAGATTGGGAAAATTGGGACTAATTGTCCCAACTAAATCATTGTGTGCAAGTGTGAAACAATTTCCAAAGGTACTGTTAAAACCTGTATAAAAGAATTGTTATATTCTTTTAGAGCTCTACAGACAACAGAGCGGGTCTTTCGGGACCGTTTGAAAGTTGATGATTGTTTTAAACACAGGATTGCTTTTTACAGGAATCAATACCATGTGAATGCTGAGATACCAGCTTCTACAACTCCCTTTCAAAATGTCTTCAGAAGGGCAGGTCCTTCTAAGTGGCAGTTTGGATCTTATTCCTTGCTTAGTCCGTAAATGTGCTTGGAAGACACTTTGGAACACTCAACTTACCCATTTTATACCATTGTTTGGTGTGCCAGTTTGCCAGGATATTATCTCTAATAATTCACTGTTCCTCCAGAATGAACAAGCAGATCTCACTTTATGATTACGTATTTGGTTTGTGAAGCCATTTCAGATGTTCTCTCCTTTTGTAGTATGAATCAAACCCATTAATCTGATGGGATCATCATGGATGGCTTCTATGTTTGCTGTGTTTTCAGCAGCCAGCTGCTCACTGTTGAGGTAAATGCTAACTTTGGAAGCCGGTATGGTGGGGTTAGATGATCTTTCTTCTTCATCCTCCTCTGTTGAAGGGTCTTTCTTTTTCCTTGGTTTTCTGCGTTTTCCCTTGACACTGTGATCAAGTGAGGCGTAACACATCTGATTGGCAGACTCCACCTAGAAGAAAATTCGCTGTATATTTAACATTCAGTAGTTATGCTTGCTTTAAGCTTATGTCTAAGGCTTTGAGTATGTCTACACTGTAATCATAGTAGTGGCTGAAGTTAACTCAAGCCAGCTATAAATTAGCTCATTAAAAATACAAATGATTGAGCTGTGGCAGCATAGAAAACAGACCACCATAACCTAACAGTAAATTACTCATTCTTAGGATAGTGGCAAGGAAAAATTCATCAAAGTATTATTGGAAAGTTTCTCTGTGGGAAATGAGGGTAGCTTATATAATCAGTCCAAGTTCTTTGGGATGCAAGACATGATTTGATTGGGTTTTTCTTCCCACTTTTTTTTTTTTTTAAATTAGAATCCAGTTATTAGCAACAACATTTTTCATGGGCTTTGTGCAGAAAAACAAAGATGGGTAATTCTTGTCTGTATATATAATCTCATTTCCAGTGCAAAATGTCTGCTTTGTATGTCTTTCCCCTGCCTCTCTCTGCGTTTTTTCAAGCCAAATTGTCAGGCACTTCTGACACTGGAGTTTTCATAGATTCTTCTATTTCTGTGAAGTTAATGAAAACAAATGTATAAATAAAAAAAGGGGGCAGTATTCCTACCCCCTGGAAGTATCCTGAGAGAGGCTGGAAATTGCTTCTTATGAAATACCTGGAAATCAGCTCAGGAAATTGATGCTAGGAATGCTTCAATTACAGACAAATTTCAGTTGAAGCTTGTATGTTTTTAGGCATCCAAGTATCTCAATGAAATACAAATCAATAGAAAACCAGTCTTCTTTCATTTGTTAAGGCACATAGATTTTGTGCTGGGCAGGAGAGGGCCAGTCAAACTCCTCATTATTGTGTGATGCAGCTTGTGTTTTCACTTGGTTGATGTCCCAAGTAAATAGAACTAGATCTTTACATAAGCTATAGCAGTAGACACAGGCTTAATTCAGCCAGATCTGCATGCCTGTGACTGAGCTTTATAATGCCATGTGGATGGAAATGAGCTGTCTGTAATTCTCCTGCTCCCTCGTTAATGACCCAGATTGAACACAGGGTCAAGTCTATGCTTAAATTCCCTAATGAACAGCGACACTAACGCATGGTAATTTTTTGTGATAAGCAGTGTGAAGATTTTTGTTATGTATTGTCATGGGATAAACACAAGAACTCTTGAGGCAGACCACATCACCCTAGTTCAGAGATCCAGAATTAAAATTAAAGATACCTGTAGCTGGTTAACTGGCCTTTGAGGCTGGGACTTCATCTGCTCGTAACAACATTCCTCTATAATTTATCAAAGCAGAAAAATGTTAAGACACACTACTGAGTTTTAAAAGATATGATTAACAGAACCTCCCTGTTACAGAGCTAACTCCCCCCCCCCGTTTACTGTGATAGAAGTTTGTTTTGTTTTGAAATCAAACACAGATCTCTTCCTCTACTTGTAGAGGGGCAAATAGCTAAGAAATTCAGACACACATACTGTGAAAATGAAGATTACTTTCTGTTCATATGGATGGAAAGTTTCTCGTTATTCGCTAAGTGGGCATCCTTTTAGACTGCTAGGAGGATATTGCAATTAGGTGGTAATCGAGTACTGAGATATTTTTCAGTATAGGCAATTTTTGCTTTGGCTGAGAAAGAGGCTGTGAGTTGCAGCAGCTGGTGATTAAATTCTATTCCTGACTTTACTTTCAGTTTTCTGTAAATATGGTGCAAGTTATTTTCTCATTTTACCCGTCAGTAAAACAGATTACTTCCTTACAGTTTTCAGGCTTTTGGAGTGGCAATGCATTTGAGTGCTGGTTTAGTTAAATTTATGCAAACCCCATGTGGAAAAAGTTGGGTTTGTTTTTGTTTTTTTTTTCCTGCAGTTCAAATACTGGAGTTCAATTTTGCTTAACCCCGAATAAGGCTAGCAAGAAAGTTGTCTTTGTGTTACTTAAATACTGCTTTAACACCCTAAGGGCTCTGAGAGACACACCCTCAGCATATCCAGCTCTAGCTGCAGTTATATGTTACTGTCTTTAATGTGGTGTATCTCTGCCCAGGATCATTAACTTCCGCCCAGTAAAGCAGAGCAAAGCTATGCCTGACCACCATTCACCCACTGGGCTAACATGTTTTAGCATATTTGTCAACATCACTGGTGATCTGTGGATAGCCACAGCAGAGAACTGGTACATGTTTGTTTCTGCCACCTTCTGTGGGAGCATTGACTTCGGGCAGTGAGTAACATGTGTCTTAGATTGCTTTAACGTGCATGGATCAAGCTGTTATTTCAATTGGTACAACTTTACATGTAGAAAAGCCCTTGGTTTTGAGATATTTGGCTGAACGGGACCATTTGGACTGTAAAAATTCAAGTTCAGTATGAGGTCTGGTCTTACAAACAGTAGTGTAGTATGGTGGTTCTAACCCAAGTAGGTATTAATACAGCTAATTGAAAAAGGGTAGATTCTCAAGTTTGTTATTTGAGAAACACAGAGTGTGTTGGTCAGTCAACTTTTAACCATGCATTTATTACAGCCTCTGAAAAGTCACGTGTTCTTAAATTGGCTCTTACCTAAATTATCTTGATGGAGATTGCCATAAACTGGGTCATCATCTGTGTAATAGTCATCATAGCTAAAAGGGGAATGGAAAGATGCATTTAATTCACAGAATATGCTTTATTTAGGACAGCACAATTCTACTCGAAACATTTTATGCATGTATAGCAATAGCAAATTTTATGTGATCTGAAAAACAAGACAAAAAATATTGGGAGGGGAGAGGGGGGGGCAGAATTACCAGTTTTGCAAAAGAGGAAGAAATGGCGATGTCCGTATTCTGAAGAGAGTTTTGTTATCTAGCAAGAATGGAACTCTTCTTTCCTGTAACTTATTTACATATAAAGCTAATCTCAAAACTACTAAGCTACTGTTTTGTATAGTTCTAGAAATATTAACGATCACTGAAAGGAACCCAGTTCATGTTCTCTGAGACCACGCTGCAATACAGACTAAAGCACTAAATGCATCTTTTGGGGAGGTGTTCTTAAGAAGTCCACCTTTGTTTCAACTAAAATACGTACGTTGACACAACTAGAGAGGACCAAAGCAAAGTTCAGCTTTGGATATTTAATGGTAGTCTGCGTTTCATTACCTGGTGTTGCTTGAAAATGTTTTTAAGCGGGTTTGTGAAGATGGGAATTGTTAGTGTGTAACCTTATTCCTATTGCATCCCTGTACTGTGCCTCATCAAGGGAATGGAGTAATGCAGCCTAACACCACTTTTTCAGTGGTATTTTTCAACTGAACAGGCAGTAATAGACAGAGACTCCCCAACTTCAGGTAAATTTGTAATTAAGGATTGATTTGGGGGAACATGTGAAGGCTTCTGTATTTTTATTTCAAGGGATTGAATATTTGGGTTGAGGTGAGACTCTTTCCATCTCTGTTTTCTGAAGTGTTTGGGTTTGGTTTTTTTAATATGGAATAAGAGAAACAGATTTGTAACAGATCATGAGCAGCTGTAGGCAGGCTCCATTTTATTGCTTTTGAACATCATGGGTAAAAGAAGGGTATAAATTATTGCTTCACAAGTACTAAAAATCAGACTATAATTTATCGTTGTTTCCTGAGAGTCCTTTTTAATTATCATAGATCTATTGAGTTTGAGTGATAGTAAATAGCATTTTAGCTCAATATCTTGCAATACCTTCAGTATATAAAATTATCATATTAGCATGCAATTATTTCGTTGTTGATAAAATGACTGGATTACATCTCTCCCACATGAATTTTTTTTTTCCCTGTTTTCTTTGGAAGACTTTTTTTCCATAACCAACCTGCTCTCTGACATTTTCAGGCAGGCTGCATGAGATATTGGATTTTCCTCTATGGCACCCCTCTAAAGCCATCTGTTATTATTTATTGTTTGTTTCACCCTTGCCAGAAAGAAACTTTATTTATCCAACTTACCTTGGACTGTTGTCCTCATAGTCTTTATATATTTTATCTGGAAAATTTGTTAAAAAAAAAAAAAAAGTGAAGAGAAAATGAAAGATTCCAGAACACTTGAGATAATTGTCTTAACTGACATGCTTTTGATTCCACTGTAGAGAGTAAAATAGGGAGTCCTTGGCTCTCAGGACCTTCAGCTGTCCCCCTGCTTTTCTCAAATACTTTTGACTAATGCAAGAAATGCTTGTGTTATGACTCTGTACTGTGGCTTCAAAGTCTATGTTAGTTTACAAGACCCAAAAAATGTATTGTAACACTTGCAATTAATTCCTGATTTCCTTTTCCTCCTGCTTCTACCTCATCTTTTTCTCTGCCTAGGGAGGTGCATCATGTGTTTATATTACAAGGTGAAGTGTTCATTTATTTTACTAGTTCTGTTGCTTGTATCTCTGAAAGAGAGATACCCTGTGATACACACAGATTAAGAAATTGAAGCAGAGAGACAACGGCTACAAAGAGATTTATTGCTAGAGCTTGATTAATAACTCAGGAATACCTGACTTTCTATCCTCTGCTCTAGGAATCCAGAATTTAGCATGGTAAGCTCCAATTCCACGAACAATGCAGCATCAGCCAATCTGACTGAAGCTTTGCTCAAGGTTAGTTTTGTAAATATCTGTGACATTTCATCCTAGAAATATCTGCCTAGTAGCACTAAAGGGCAAAATAAGCCAAAAAGGCACACATCCCCCATCCCACAACGCTCCAGCAGCTCTTTTAACTTTCTGTAACAACCTAATTCTCTTACAGTTGGTGAGTTCAGTTCATCAGCATAGGCCTTCCGTTTAGGTAGCTAATGTATGTGTATGTGTGTTTAATGTGGTTGAATCCACCAGCGTTTGCCTGCCCACCCTTACGCATATAGCACAGGTGAAGTTTTCCCTCTGTAAAGGCCATTTTTTCCCTGAATGGGAGTGGTGAGGATTGTACAACTTAATAACTATAGCACTGCATGCACAAGAGACGTTGCACTGGCATAATGAATTCTGTTTAAAAACTCATAGTTAATTTTAACCAAAACCAGAGTATGACTGTAGTCACCCTCTACCATAAATTAAACTAATCAGTTCCTTATTTTGAGTGACATTGGTTTAAGAGCTACATTCGGATCCCACAATGAAAAGCAATTAGAACTTTTTTTCAAAATAAAATGATTAAGCATAAAATGTGTATGAAATCTGAAATTCAAACAAGTATTCAAACAGGCATTTTAGGAGGAGAATTTTTTTCTCAAATACATTTTGTATTAGTGCAGCTACTTAAAATAATTTTTAAATTAAAGTAAAAATGGTACCAGTTGCATGCAAAATACACTTTAAAAAGGGGGAAATTACATGTGTTAAAAATATATTTTAAAAATAAGCCAGAACTAAATTCTTCACCTTATACATATTCTGTTGGTTTGTCTTCAGAGAATGGATTTAGGTAGTTGTTTTAGCAGTGGATTGGGCAGCTGGCAATCATTCTGTAATCACACCTGACTCTCCTAAAAAATTTTGGAAGTCACGTCCTCTCAGCTAGAATCATTCTTGCCAAAAGATAACGTCAAGATTCTAAAGAATCAATTTGTTGCCTTGAAATCTCCCAGCAGTGATGACTTCCTTTAAACACTCAAATTCCGTTCCTTACAGAGACACATTACTTACCTTGCTTCTTTTTCATATAGTGGGAAATATTCAGTATCAATGAAACAACCAGAGCCAAACTCAGAAAGGCCAAAACTCCCCAGACAGAAAAATGACAGTCCATTTCTGTAATGGAAAGAAAACAATTTTATAGTTTGTGTTGTCTAACAGTTTTACTCTATTCTTTGTGGTTGGTTGATTTTTGCTTTCTGTAATTCAAGCTGCTATTTTGTTGTTTACACTGTGACAGCCATTTCTATACAAGCTAAATAATTAATATCAAAACCAGACGCTAGATAATAAGCAAGCAACTTCAATAAACTGTTAGCAGAACTACTGTTTCATAGCAATTCAGCCAGAGGTTGGGCTATCAGTTTGCCTGTAAAATGCAGTAAAAATCAGAAATTGCTGAAGAAAAACACATTTTACTGAATAACTTTTTTAAAGTTATTATATATAATGGTATAATTATGTTGTTATATAGTTATTAGTAATTATATAATCATATATTTATATAATCGAAGATAATTGTATTACCTATATAATTATGCATATAATTATATATGTGATAAATATTCTTATATATAATATAATATATATTATAAAATTAACTAACTGAAATTATTTTTGCAATTGTCTTTAATTTACTATTTGCAGTAAATTTTTGGCTAAATTCTAGAGTTCATTAATGTCATTCTGAAGATGAGTTCAGTCAAAACAACTTACTTCACTGGAAATGTCTCTGAATAATAGCTAAGACCATCAGGTTATAATAATCCCTGCAACAAGTTTCAAAGGTTGGTTATGTGTTTTCTTGCATCTCCTATTAAAACGACTTACTTACTTTACTCATATCCTCACTCTCCTTCCTGAGAAAGCAGAGGGTGTAGTGGCAAAGGATGAACAGTAACTGGGAACTGGTGAGCCCCCCTAGAACTACTCCAGAGAAAAACCCGACCAGTTCCTGAAGAACCACTTCTTCAGGAACAAAGTACAAGGTGGGTCAACTTAATTGAACAAAGCCTCCCTTTGCACTGAAGTCGCCTCTCCCCAGACTCCTGTTAGGAACACAGGAAGGAACCCACACACACCAAATGTGTTTTGTCATTTAATTAATTCTTCAATTAACCTGCTCATATTAATTTTCCATCACAAACCATGCTGAAGAAAATAGCCTATCTGTGACAGTATAATGGCCAAAATTATCAGTGTTGCTGCAGATGGCCTGTGAAACCCTTCCTTGACAGAGAAAATGCTAAGCCAAACACGTGAATTAAAGGAGCTTGATTTTTCACTTTCCCCGGAGGCATGTTACATGTTCTGGATTTGGAGTGTTTAAAATAAAGCCTCACCCAAAAAACCTAATGAACTCCACTAATACTTCACAAAAAAGTCTAGCTGGAGCAGAGCAGTCAAGGGGAGAGGCTGGATGATGCCATCGAAGTGAGATTCGAGCAGGTCCATAACGCTCTTGTTTGCTTTTGGTGTAGCTGCATTCCTTCAGGAGGCCGACGTTTTGTTTGCTTCTTAAAGGAAATCTGAGGTAAAGGGGTACAAGAATACACATTCCTACGTTGCCGGGCAGGGGGAGCAACGCATTTGCTCCTGCTGAGAAAGCAGAGTTTTGTTCCTCGGCTGACCAGCTCCAGCTCCCCTTAGGAACTGCCGCTTACAGGTTTTGTTCCCTAATTATGCTGGTGATGCAAAAGCTCTTTTAGTTTTGTTTTATTCCAAGCCACAGTTGTTTTTATGATGATGAGACAAGACAATTTTATCCTTGGCAGTAAAAAATCACAAATCTTATCAGCTTCTATGATGCAGGTTTCCTTCCTGATCAGAACTCTCTTTTAAGAGGAACAAAACAGCAAATAAGCTGTAACTTTCTGACAGACTTGTAACTGGTTGTGCACGTGGTATTTTCAGTGGTCATTTATCCTTCCTATTAAAGTAACTATCCAATTTCCATTCCTTTCTTTTCTCCTACCTGAGATTTCCCAAAGGTGGTTGAGGTCTCTCCATCACTGCAATGCTATTTTTCATGTTGAGAGGCATGTTTTGCAATGAAATACAGGCACTCGTGAGGAGAGACAACACCCCCATGAAGCAGCTATATATTATTCCAATATTTCAGAATAGCTATTAAAAGAAAGGGCTATCTCACCTTGAGAAGATATTATCAGGCCACATCAAGAACCACCGGTGTTTGAAATCTGGTTACTCTACAGTTAGTCACTCAACAACATTTGCATCCTACGCAACCTGTCCAAAACTACAAAAAGTCTATGTCAAAGTCAAGAACTTTTAAGTCTCAGTGTAGTGCCTGGATAATAAGAGTCATCTTTCCTTCTTCTCCTGTCTTTTTATCTTTTCTGAAGTGATTCCTTCCCATTTTTCTTATGTTCATTTCAGATTTCTTTTTCTACAAATTCTTCTTTTTTTTTTTTTTTTTCAGGGAGCAAAAGCAGTATTTTGGCCTTAAGAGAAGTGAAGCAGACGTAACTGGGATAGAAACTACAGCCCTGGCATTCATTAGAATAAAAAGTGAGTAGATACCTCAAGAACAGCTGGAACCTAAGTTTGTACCTTTTTCTTGATACTGAGTGCTGTCATTTATCTTTCTGATTCAGGAATCCTATTTTCCCCTGGTGTTGCCAGAGTAGGAGGAGAACTCTTAGTTTCAAATTTAATATTTTCAGCCCTTAAGTGAAGTGGTAACCAAATTTTTAATTACAATTATTTTTTTTTGTGTTTCAGCTTCTGATTTAAATTGGAATTATTATCTAGAAATGAGTAAAGGTTGGAAAAAAGTTGTTTCCCTTTTCACTTTCAAGCTTAACTTCTACGGTATTTGGGCAGTCTGACTTCTCTAGGACTTTAAAAATATTCTAGCAAAACAAATGGCATGAAGCTTGGATTTCTAATAAAACGTACCAATGTTTTAAACCTCACAATCTATAGCTCTTTCTTAAACTTTCTTTAGAAAACTGCATGGGTGTGAGGAGATTAAGAAAACAACATTTAAATTTATTCCTTGCTGAACACTACTTAGTTTATTTTTAAATTTATTTTCCACAACTCTGACTTAAACATCTGCTTGTATTTCAGTAGAATATATACAAATATATGTCTGACTTCAGTATCTCATTTTTTCATTTTTTTTGTCTTTGCAATGGGAGCTATTTGTTTGTCAGACAAGACTACTTATATCTCAGAAACAACAGCAGTTTTCATTTACCCCATGAAACCATAATAAAGACCTTGATCAGAGACATACCGAGTGCCACTCCGAGTGCTCTGTGCTTTTCTAATATCAGTTTCAGGTTAATCTTACTGTCCTATAAAATATGAGAGAATTTTATTTTATGTCTTAGCTTTACAACTAGCTATACAGCTCTCAGCTCTTTCCCAAGTGTTCTTGTACTACGCTTATAGTTGTTGCCAATATGCTATCTACATTTATAACTGCATTATTTAAATATTTACTAGTATTTACTACTTTGGCAAGAGCAGCAGTAGAAGGAAAGCTGAATACCTGTGTGAAGAACAATTTATCTCCTCAGATAACTACGCTGCTGTTCTTATATGTATAATAGCAGATGCAACCTGTGACAGCTAACTGGTTGCGCTAGGCAAAAAAAAAAAATAAATAACGTGACTGGGGATGGAGAGTGGGAGATGATAAATTAAAAAGAGAAGTCTATTAGACTAATTATAGTCTGTTCTGAAATAGTGTCTTTTATTCTATTCTCTAATCTTAATTTTCATTCAAGTCATCTACTGTCAAATGTAATGAAAACAGATTTTTTTTTTTATGTCTTACATATTTATTCCAAAGAACTCCTAGCATTGTGTTCAGGGACATTCACACTCAATTGCTGTCAAATTGAATATTCTAAAAAGTTCTGTTATAACTTTGAAAAAAAAAGTCCTAATGAAAAATTAGGCCCCTGGGAATAGTACACTATGATTAAAACAGGATAAGCTCAAATTCCATCATGGCTTTCTGTGATAGTCTATCTATGATGGGAAAAACCTGACTGATAGTAGTTTGTTCATAAGAAATCGTCTTGAGGCTGTCCCTAAAGTAATGTGCTCCTCTGTGAAAGAGAAGAGTTCATAGTATAACCAAAGGTTTCATGAAAAGGACAACAATTCTCATTTTATTTTTAGAAGAAGTTGGGAAGTGTGAGTGGGGGAAGTACTGTATTTAATCATTATAAAGATGACTGTATTTTGAATACCTAGTACCATAATCTGTCTAGTATTAACAATACATTCCTATTCTGCTGTTCTTTCATTTCTATTTGGAAACAGGGTCAAACCTGGATTTGCATCCAAGCAGAACATCTACCTTAGGTAATTTACTCCATCTGGATGAAGTTTTTACTTTTCTGACTTTAGGGATGGGTTATTCACCTCCTCTTAGTATATTTTACACTGCTGTAAACTAAGTGTACTGTATTCACACAACAAAATACAGGCAAATGAAAGACTTTCTAAAAACATATTTAATTGTGCTTTTTCTCCCTTTTAAATCTATTGACAATTTTCTCCACCAACATAGACAAGACATGGGAATAAATAGACTTTTGGTCACTTGTTCTTAGGTTTTCTCTTTGCAGGGTTCATTATACTGTAATTGGAGGGAGGTGGGGGGAAGAAGAAAACAAAAAAAATAACCAAGCAAACAAAAGCCCCCAAAACATTCTAATCTTTCCTGAATGAATTTCTGCAATTCAGTGTTATTGCAACTCAAAGGAGTGGACCTGATCACGTACCTACCTTTGGGGAAAGGGACCAGATTTAACAACTTGGTGCTAGAAATAGGTGTTTATCCTCCCAACAGCATAAGAATAGCTAGCAGAAGTACTACGTTTCATTCCTTCTTGTTCTAATGTATTTTGTTTAGAAAATCCATTACAAAGGGTAACAGCAAGATATCGTAGTTCTACCAGTTTTTCCTTCTGAAAAGGAACACAATGTGGGGAATATAGATATCTGTCGAGCAAGAACTTGACATGCCATCTATGGTATCAACCCATGATTCATAGAAGTAGGTTAATTACCTTGGTCACTACCAGATTTAAGATGATGATCTGGAGCACAAAACGGTTTGTTTCCTGTTGTTTCTGTCTGCAAATTTGTTAAAGATGAGAAAAAATTAGCTTCCCCCCCCTTTCTATTAAATTGTGAGATAAATAATATTCTGTACTAATGATCCTTAGAAAAAGAACCCATTAAGAGACTGATGAATGTTAAATTAACATTAAAGATGCTTCCACCTGTGTGAGTTGTTAAGAAAGGATTAATTCTCCAGAAAGAATTCCTTAAACTGCAATTAATTAGTTCACAACTAATTGCTTTGTAAGATATCAACTTCATAATTCAGAAGGGAAGCAGCACATTGTAAAATAAGAAGCCCTCAGCACAGTAAATATTTTAAGCACAAAACTAACACCAATGCTTAGTCTTCGTTAACAAACCTTAATTAATGAAGGTTTAAGCGGTTGATGATAACTCATCATCAACGTGATTATTAATAAAATTTGACTTCAGAATCCTGAGCAAACTTCTTGTAGTACTGGTAATCTACAGTCTGCTCCTTTGTTTTCAAGTTTGTAATACTGAAAAGAGAAGGCTTACCGTTTTTTGTTGTTTCTGGGAATATTCCCCGCCCCTTTATCCAACAGGAAATCAAGTTATGTTGGCGGACCTTGGACGCTCTTTTGTTTTGGACCTGGCAGCATGAATCTATCTCTAGAGTTGCCGTCAATCTTAAAGGTCTCCCGTCTTTTTTTTCACCTCCTTTGTTACAAACAGGAAATGTGGTTCAGGCTTCTACAGCCTCGCTAGCAAACTGACGGTCTCCTTCAGTGTTTGCCTCCAAGAGAGGAATAAAATATTCGTGTGTGCATTTGCACTTATTATCCACCTGTCTTGCCACAGAATAACACAAACAGGAACATTAGTTCCATTTTTTGTGATACAAACCTACTTTTGTAATATTCGTATGAGAACCATACTCTAAGTCTTCTTGTTTGTGATGTTATGTTGACTTCAACAAAAGTATTTAGATACCTCTTAAACAAAATTACAGAACTGTTTTACCTAGGAGTGCTATTTGACTCTTTAACTCTTGAGATTTTCTAAACCAAGTCTGAAAGACCATCACTGAGACAGCCTACAGTTTAGCAGAAACAGGATTCAGAGGCACAATGCAGAAATTATACCATTGCCAGCTCTAGAAGGTCAACTTAGGATATCATGTGCTTTCTCCATTCTTTTAAAGCCTATGAATCTGGGCCCACAATCCAGAACAGTTGTAGAGAGAGAGGGTAAATCAGCATGTGGCTTACTGGGTGTATTTATTTTCAAAATTTAATGAAACATGCCTGGTTTTGGGTAGAGCCATTTTATTCTCAGAATCGAAGTAGCTTCTTCCAGAGGAAGTTTGTACCCTGAGCACTGCCGAAGAAGCTTTCTGTTAACGTCTGAGGGTTTGGGAGATTTTTTTGCAGAGCAAACAGTTTTATTTCTAATTATGCATAATGCGGAAGTGGGAAGGGATGCTTAAGAAAAAGTGAACCACATGACTATGTTTGTCTTTCTGGAATGCGTACATTGAAATAGCCCGCAGTGTAGTCTAAGGAGCAAAGTAAAACATTGCTCTTCAAGAAAGGCTCTTATGTGGGAAAATGTTCTTTGCAGTATATGTTTATTTGGGATTATATTGCTTTGGAATATTATCTACCTTAGATCAACGCTTAAGAAATAATTTACTGGATTAACATTTTATTTGAACATGAAGGAGCAGGTTAGTCTGGATTAATATAATATACCCTTCCATTTGAGTCCAAAGGTGAAATAGACTCTTAACTACTCAGAGCTTTATCATAATGAAGTAGATTGATGAGAAGGAATTAATATAAAAATAATGAAAATGGTGTGAATTCTTACACTTTACACTGGTTTTGAGGTTGTAATTATCCTGATGAAAAATTGCATTAAACAAAAACAGTTTGAAAGTAGACATAGCCTTGGTGTTTGCCAGCAACTCAATTTAGACACCCCACTCACAAATATGGATAGAATCAAAATTTTTCATTGTTAAACCAAAAAGCATGGGTCCATCCCATTTCACTGAAAACCAGGATATAGAACTAGAGCTCCCTTCAGTAAATGATGCGTTATATGATCTGTAGTCTAAACTGTGGCTTTAAGCAGGGAAGAGATCCAGTTTTGTGAAGTGGAGACTGCAATTCATATGTTTGAAAGTGAAGGGTTTGTCACAAGCCTAGGGAAGAAGGTCTCAACCAGTTACGACTGGATTTAGTAGTTCCATGTCGTAGGCTCAAGTGAACAGAAGAGTCCTGGGGCCATCTGATGAGAGTATACATCTCTTGTTAAGAAAAAGAAGGATCCTGAATTGAGAGAAAAGCTGGAGAGTGTGGGAGATACTTACTGTAAAAATAGAGACAGTTGCTTAGTTTCTCAGCTAAGAGGACAAGGAGTAAATCTGAGATCTGCAGAGGATTCAGAATGAAATGCTTATCAGCCTGAACAAGAAGCTTACAAGGAATAAACTCCTGTGGAGATAATTAGGGGCATAATGGAAAGGTGAACACTGAGAATGCAGCAAGGGATTTCTGGGTTTGAAGTCCTTGTGGCGTGTTAATAAATCTGCTCTCCAAGAGCAAATCATTGTTGTACAGTATAAGCTTTGGCTGGCTGCAGAAGCAAAGTCGATTGCATTGGGCATGAGCTTGGTATGCTATTTTGAGCAGCCTGCAATAGACTGAAAGCTCCGTTAGATAGCAAGAAATTATTCACTGCAGGCTTTAAAATCCATTGTGAATTATAAAAGACTTCTTACTTCTCTTTCTTGTCCTTTATACTGGTGCTATGTTACAAAACTTAGTGAGCCAGTAGTCTGCTTAAAGTGCTGTTATTCAGGATAATAACGATAAGGACAAATTGTGCCTAATTTTAGAAAGACAGGACATAAGGTAATGCTACTCCATCTACATCTATTGTGTACAAAGGCGTTTCCTCCTCTTTTGAAACTCCCCAAGCTATGAACTGCTGGGTGCGTATTCTGAGGAAGTATCTCTGACTGCTTAGCTACTTACGTGATCCTTGGTAAACGTATGCTGCTGGTGTCTCCAAGATAAGAATCTATGTCAAATGGATGTATAACTTGGCTGGGAATAGCTCCTGCTGTTTGAGTTCTTGGAGAAGGTAAATGGAATACTATCCAATATTGAAGCACACAGATGTATATGAAGGAGTAAGTCTGTGCTCAAATGGAGTCAAACAGTACTGTTTGGCAGAAGACTTGGGTGACTGAGTGAAGCCGACTGAGAGATCACTTGACAAAGTGAAAAGAAGAACTTATAAAGTAGCATTTTGTTTGTTGTTTTAGTTTTTTAGAAGAATCCTAAAGCTGACATGAAAGATAACTTTGCATTTGGAAGGGAAGCCATACTTAGGAAGGGAGAGAGTGGATATTGAATTTCCTTCTTTGGGCTTAGCTGAGTCTTCCTAAGCTTGATGTTAATGTAGAGGGGAAAAAAAAAGAATAAGTGGTACATTATGGATGTTATGGGGTTTTTGTATTAAAAATCTATGGTGCTATCTACAGAATGGAATAACTAGAAATCCTAGAAGTGCCTGGGTTAAGTACTCATGGTCTAGGAAATGGTAACTCACGCTTACCATGAAGTTCCCTAAACTTGTATGTTTATGCATCTGTGTTATATATGGAATTGGAAGGTTTACACTCATTTTTGAGGAAGCAGATATGTGGCAGCAGCCAAACTTTTTAGATATCTATACCCAATTTTTGTGATGAGACAGCAGGCTGTTGCCATAGATCATGGAGATACGTCAGTGGCTGACAAAGGAAAGATTATAATATTGCTGACATCCCAACAGAGGAGGTCAGTAAGTTTTCAGAAGCAAGACCATTACTAGAATTTTTATATTTAAAGTACTATTCTGGATCTGGCTCAACCTTGGCAGGATGGAATGGTTTGCTGTGGTTGCTTAAAAAGGTAACAGTCCTTAGCAGTTCCCAGCAGTCTCTTCCAAGCCTGAAATTTGCTGTACATGACTGGAAGTGTCAAGGGAAAAGAATTTTTGGCCTTACTGACCTGAAAGGCACTTCACAGTTTGTACTTTCCCTTTCCTCCACCCCAAGAAATCAAAAAGCCCTACTGAATCCTTCCTCTTTGTTTTCAAAGAAGAAGGTCTTTGCTATGCCACTAAAAGAAAACTTCTGGGGACTGCCTTAACTGTTTCTTAGAAAATGGGTATTAAAACTAAATGTTACGTTTTTCAAGTGTAGTTGGAGAAAATGCAAATTTAATAGGCAGTTGGCACAAGCTTCTAATGCATTTGACTTGATAAACCTGCATCTCTTATTTACTTAAGAAGTCAATTAGTTCAGTACATTTTCGCCAATGCATGCATGTTGCCAGCAAGCTCTACTTTTCGAAGACCACAGAATGTATGTTTATTCTAGCTTCCTGAAGGGGAAATAAACTGCACATCTGACAACAGAATCGGGCCTCAAATGCCTACTTTCTCTACAACTACTCAAATTGCAACCTTTCTTTGAAAAATCAGATAATTTTCAGGTCTAAGTGGTGTAGTGGAAACCCCCTTGCAAAGAATGAAAGAGAGACTGTATGTAATAAAAGTCTTGAAAAGTGTAGGTATTCCAGCAAGATGTAAACGACATTTCCGTTTGAAGTGGGAATATATTTTTAATCATTAATCTTCTAGGATTTGCCAGGGAAGGTAACTACAGCAGAAATGCTTTGAGGGGGCTTATGCTGAAGTGGAGTCCGCTCTGGTTCTAAGCTCACAAACATATCGGAGGCATAGAACAACTCCTCTTTTAAGCTTAGCATGTGGCGCTCTGCTTAGATTGCAGGTGCAGACCTGGTGGGCCTTGTGTAGTGAACATAAATGAGCAGCAATGCTGCAGAAGAGAGGTTGGTGTAAAATAGCTGCCAGAAAGAGTGAGGCCTTTCAAGCCAGCCTCAAATGCTGCAGAGAGCTCTTCTGACTCCCACAGTGAATTTTGTAGTTGACGATAAAATTAGTGAAACAATCAGTGTCATTTGTGCGTTGTAGACAAAGTCCTGTATTCCACTGTTTTATACTAACCGCTGTTAAACATGGTGCTATCTCGTTAACTGCCCCTGAAATTACGGCTGCTATTACAAGCAATATCATGGGTTTCCTGTGGGGAAACCACAGGGGTTTTTTTCCGAATGCTACAAAACCTTATTATCAAGGACTGTAAAGACAAAACTTCTTATCTTGGTAATTCTGCACTGTCAAAATTTCCATTGAAAGCTCACACTGCACAATTGTGCAGCTTTGGGTGGGGTTTTTTGCCTTGCATGCTGTGAGGTAGCTGAGCAGTCTCTGCATAACTAACAAAGAGAAAACGGAACAGATGCTGCTTCATCCAAAACCAGCAGAAGTGTGGCCTTTCCATTGACTTCAGTGATATTATTTTCTGTTCAGACAGATGCTGTGTCCTGAGACACATGTAATCTCTAGTGGTATTTCTTTCAACAGCAACAAGAAGAATGAATTTCATGTTAAGGTTGCTATAATCCACTTACCTGGTTTTAGGATTTTTGTAATTCCCCCTTGATACACTTATATAAAGAGTGTAGGCAAGTATTTTCCCCTGGGCAACCTGATCCTGCAACTATTC